CATGCCTTTACAATCGCCATGGAGACTTAATATCTGTGGAGGTTAAAGAGAATCCAGAATTAATTCCAAGAAGTTGGGATTTGAGCATCAAGCTTCTGGGTTAAACAATGGACCTTTTTACTCTTTTCGACGGGGAAATCCTCGGTTTATATGGAGCAAAGCTTTTGATCTTCTTATATACTAGTACCAGATAGGAGTCCAACCAATTCTGTGTGTCATCAGACAAAAAATCCATGAAAATTTGACCCCAGTGCCAAACAAAATTAAGTTGTCATGATATTCATCAACTGGAAGAGAGATAATTTCATAGAATCTATCAAAATCAAACACATTTATTGGGATTCCATTTTCCATCCGACTAGGTAGATAACTTTCAAGTAGGGTTGCTGGCTGTATGTTTTCCGGCTGGGATTGGATGCAAAACCCTGTGGTGTGTTTTTGAAGGACTAGATGTGCTATTCTACCATTGAAGAAATTGCAAAAAAGTACAGAAACCCGACACGGGTGTGGTGTCGACACATAAGTTGGGTGTCGACACCATACAGTAAGCATCCAAAATTAGCAAGGACGGTTCGGCTCTCATTCATTTATGTCTTTCAAGTTAAAATGTTTATGGATTTGGAGTACTCCTTGTATTCTATTTTTTAATAAATGTCACTTTTTCTGTTCAAGAAAAAAAAAAAAAAAAAAAGGGAAGAAGTAAGATTGAAGAACGTAACTTTTTACATGAAAAAATCTCCTACTTTTACAGGATATATGAAGAATGCCAATGGAGTAGCTAATTGCTTTAACATTTTTGAAGCCAATGCAAGATCGATTAAAAAGAAACACAGAATTAATATGTAATAGGATTAAGTGAAATCATCAACATAGGGAGGGGGAGTACCAAAAGAATAGCAGTAAGCTTACCTTCGGTTTGCATGGATGTTTGCAGGTACGGTAATATATGTTGCCCGCTGCTTTTATTTTGGTGAAGAAACTTGGAAGGGGAGGGAAGGGATGGAACCGTCATCTTTATTGTGAAAAGAAAGAGAAAAGAAAAAGATTACCTAGTGATTGACTTTCCATTAGGAATCAAAAGCTTTTTTTTATTTTAACTTTTATTTTGATAAATAAAATTAGAAATTGTTGTTTGTCAACCAATTTTTATACAATTAGAAGAATAAATATCTTAAAATTATATTACTTTATTAAAATATCATGAAAAAAGATTAAAACAAACTCAATTTTAAGTTTTTACTAAAAATTTATTAAAACAAGTAGTTTTTGAATTTTTTTCCGTTTCATTTTTTAAAGACTCGACTAGCAACACTTTTCTCCTTTAATTAAATATTATGAGATTTCAATTAATTTTATAATAAATTTTATCTAATTTATTTAATTAAATAAAAATATAATATTCTCCTTTCTTCTCTTTCTTTTATTTTAACAATCAACTGTAGTTATTATCATACAAAATAATATTATAGCCACATAATTTTTTTAATTCAATCTAAGTACTGACTTTATTTGATTTAACTATTAAGAGCACCAATAACTATTGTTAACTAATAATTATAGAATTATTGATGATTATTTTTTTAACAGATAAAAAATCAATCTATGAACTGATGTTTCTAAACATTGCAACAAACTGTTTAAGAAAACGATTTATAATTTCAATACTTACAAATACTGACTTGATTTAATTTGA